AAGGAGCGTCCGGAGGGCTTGCGGCAACCACATGTGACGACCCCGGGCTGGACTCCGCTATCGTCCTCTTTTGGAAGACCAAACAAAGTAGTTTCACTTTCACAACGAAGCACACAGCGTCTTCAGGACATGGCTGCAACGTCAACAATACTACAGCGAGAATAAAAGTTATGCCTTCTTTCTTTGAGTGAACATTTGGGTAGCGTTATGCAAATCTTCCCACATAGTGAGGTAGATATGTGGGGGCGTGTTAGAGCGAGCCATTTTAGGAGGGTGTGGCTGACTCTGAACTTTTATAAAGAATATCTCTTTGGATTTGAGACTTTAGTCTTTGCAACTTTACAGATCTTCTTTATGCACCAAGAGCTTGTAACACTGCAAAGAGAAAGGAAAAATTAAAATCGCATCATATGACCCCTTTAACAAATGTGCCTGTTGCCAATTGTCAGCATCTGTTGGTGCAGATTGAACTGGCCTTTACAGAGCGCAACAGTTGTGTTCCGGAAGTAAAATCGCCATTCATTTTCTCCACAGGGAAAAAGATTTTAACAATAACAGATAAACCTTTAAAAACAGACCTGTTATGAGCTCTAAGGTTGCAAAATCAATAGTATATGCTTTTGTCGAACCCATCTGTTCACACTAATTCAACTTAAATTTAACAATCATGCCTCATAGCGGAATTCATGGTGAAAAACTACATTACCCATGATGCTGTACAGAAAATTCCACCAATCAGAGAGTTGCAATGAGCAAAGAGGGCTAAAAGAGCTATGTAGCTCTGCCCTCTCCCATGAAACTGTCTCCTTGTGCTCTCAAAATACTTTAAAATTTGCATATGCATTTTTTGCATGTTTTTAAATTGGATTAATGTCATTCTCAGTGGTTGATGGGACTGTAGCTCTTTCCCTCACTAAAGCTGTTACTATATATATATATATATATATATATATATATATATATATAAAAATGTTTTAAAAAAAAAAAACAAAAATGTCTACATATATTTATATAAAA